CATAAGCCATCTTCGAGCGCACGAGCGCCAAATCGACGGATAGGAGTCAAAGTGGTCGCCATGGCCGAAATCGGTCGGATGAAATCATCATCATGTGCATATTTAGTGGTAAGCAAGCGTTGCATGTCCTTAAATAATAAGATCTCGTCAATAGTGATATCTCTGTTTTCAGCTCTTAATGTAGTCATTCAACATCCCTGTAATACGTATGAGTAATTTAAAGACGAATGCGAGTCACGCGAGTTATACTCACAAGTCTTACAGAGTGAGATTAAAGTAATTCGCCTACCATTATCTGATAAAGCCAATAGTATCCAAAAGCTATTATATATAAGGGTGGTAGCACGTCTTGTGAGTCCACACGGGTAGGTACCACAACCCTGTCTATATCTGCCGTGAACCAATAAAGCGTTTCGGTTTGAAGGGCGGGGCAGCCGTTGTACTGTTAAAACTGAGACCTTACAACTCATGTCTCAAGGTGGGTGGCGGCATTTACGTTGTAGATGTCCATGGCCTCCGGTAACCACTTTACACCAAATGGACCGTGAGCTCGTCCACCCATCTAACCAATTTTTTTTTTTATTAAATTTGTTCACTAAAAAGGTCGCTTTTGTATGGAGCGACTACATCGCATTGTATTTGTCATCATTTAAGTATGCGTAAACAGTCACTACACAAGCAGCGTAGAAATCTTTCTAAACTGACCACAAGCTTACTTGCAACGAAGTATTCTGGCGTCCGTCCTTGACTACGCGCCTAGGTTTTACCGTTACTAAAAAAAAACTATGTCTCATTATATTCTGAACCGAAAAAAAGTGCACAGAGCCGTCGAAATCGGAAACCTTCGGTCTAGATCTTTTTACATGCGTTCATAATTATCACTGTCGATGTTCACGGTGAAAAAATTCAGAATGGACCTTACTTTTATTAATAGGTTGTCGGAGTTTTATAGGCGCCGTTATAAGGTGACTTAAAAAGTGTTAATAATAAAAGCTATGTGGCTGTGTCTCTAAAATATGTAAAAAATATGTAAATATATACTCCGAAATTTAGAAAAAATTATATCTGCCTGTGGGTATTGAACACCAACATAGATTCCTTCATCGATTTTAAATAAAATTGTTCAAAAAAGATTTCCCTGTAATTTGGAAAGTATTTATTTCGCTAATCTTCTGTGACCGTTTTGAAATATCTCCAAAAATGGAATATATACCTCTAAAGGAATTAAACTCAGTCTAATGATACTAATTGCATTCATACCTTTATTATACTGCTGCTTCTAATGGGTCAATAGGGAAGGATATCAATTCCGTGTATGTTTAAATATATGGACCGTTTATTTTGAAAGTGGTGTAAGTCGATTTTTGAGAAAAATGAGCCATCACGTAATTCATGCTTAATTTAATGTAATTTTTTTATATATAACTAGTCCGTGTTTAATTTCTCAAAAAAATCCCATATTTTGTACAACTTAAAATCGGTCGGTAAATGAAATTGCATAATCATCGATTATGAAAGTGGTGTAAGTCCAATTGACAGAGGTAGGTGGCATAGCCAGACCTCATATGATTTGCCTGTATTTTTAAATCAACAAATATAGTAACCTTTAATTTTCTCGAAACAAAAGAAAATGGACTTACACCACTTTCAAAATAAACGGTCCATATCATGCTTTGTAAATCTAAGCTATTCATTACGCTAGAAGTACTACCCGCTTTTAAAGAAAACAATTTACATAAATTCCTAAAGAATGACACCCCCAATATTTACAAACGATCGATTATGTTCATTGAATGTATGAGAACATCCATTCATGGTAACATTTATTGATCTGTCTACGGCATTGCGTGACTTGTAAGTACGCCGTACGTGTTTCAAATTAATTGGGTCAGAATCGTTAGGGTCTAGTGTTTGGTACTTTCTATAAAGCTCCTAAATTGAAATAGTTTAATAGTCAGTTAATTGAGACAAACTGCGCCTTTCTGATTGGCAGCCCTAGAGATAGGGATTTCAATTGCTTTGAAATAAATAATTAATTACGGTTCTTTTTGTTTTCATTGGATAACAATCCTTAAGTTGTTTCTTTATGGTGTCGGTGTATCTCCCTTATGTTGCAGTTAAAATAGGATTCCTCGTTACAAAATATAATGATAGTATTTCACTCAGAGCAGTGGCTTAGTTTGGGATTACCGATATTAATAAATAACGGAACCACTTAACATCTGGCCGTGCGCTCATCGGGCATCGTCTATTCTTCTATACTAATATTATAAAGAGGAAAGATTTGTTTGTTTGTATTGAATAGGCTCCGAAACTACTGAACCGATTTGAAAAAATTATTTCACTGTTTGGAAGCTACACTATTCCCGAGTGGCATAGGATATCATTTTTTTTGAAAAAAAATTAGGTATATTTACTAAAACTCCAATAATGTAACTCTAGGTGTAAAAAAATTACCTAAAATATTCTTTACATCGCGTGCCCTGCGAAAGCTATTGATTATAGTACAAAACAATGTACTACGACTTTGTAGAACACATTATTAATTACAAAAAGTGTCGCGACAGCATATGTCTAACTATTATAGTTATGCCGCAATAAGTGTTCTTTTATTTAAAAAAATAAAACAACGTCAAAAATCGTTGAAAATTTTGTTAAAGACCCGAGCGGAGCCGGAGCAGGCCGCTAGTCAGTAATAACAGAGCTAAATTTATTCTCGACTTTCATTAGGACATTGTGACGTCACGGCTTTGCTGTAATAATTTTCATATGTGTTCGTCATTCTCCCATAATAGTATATCCGATTGAGTTGAAAATCTGAACATTTATTGTTGACAACGAATGGTAGTATGACAATTACAATAATAAAAATGAAATTAACAATTTTCTACTGCTTAGGCAGATTTGAGCTCAAACTAGAAATGGTTACTGTCCTAATCAGGTTTTTTTTTTGCCACAAAGAAGTCGTATGTTCCTAGTTGAAGGGTAGAACAGCCATTATAGGTACTATATAATGGAAACTTGATTTTATAGCTACGTCACCGTATCCCCAGGCGGGGTGTCAGGTTTTGTATACGAAGCTAAAATGAAAAATCTTATTATGGAAGGAAAGCGTCTAGTATTATTTTCCTGGATATTTCGCTGACCTTCGAAATAATTAATGAATGCACGTGCAGAGTTTTAGCATGTGTTCTTAAAACTCTGCATTCCGACATTCCTAAAACTCAATAATGTTTTTGCAGTCAATCTATTTACTATTGCAGCGGTAGCCATCATACAACAAGATATTTGACAAATATCTGAATCTCGCTTACAACATTTTCAAGATCAGCTCGCATATATAAAAGTTCCGAACAATAACATTCTTTACCCCTCAGACACAGCCCACTGAGTTTCTCGCTGGATCTTCTCAGCGTCGCGTTTCCAATCGGGTGGTAGATTCTGCGAAGTACGGCTCTTGCTAGGGTTCGTGTTAGCAACGTCGTCAGGTTTGAGCCCCGCGAGCTCACCTACTAGTTAAGGTTACGCTGAAATAGCCTCTCAAGGCTCAGCTCAGCTCAGCTTAGGTAGAAAAAAAAAACAACATTCGGACCGTCAGTCTATCGAGCAATAGCACACGCTCGGTGGAAGATCTTCCTCTCCTTGAATAACTAAACCGCCCACTCGCATCTGATACGATACATGTTGGTGGACGACATTATTATCCCCAGTCGTTGTAGTTAGCTAGTGACAATGAAGCCTAGTTTGAAATTATAATTGGAATCAAAATGGCAACTTCATATCTATGCATGTTAAAGACGGTAACTGTAAGATCAGCGTGCACACTTTCACTGACATGTTGAACATCAATAAACTATGTACGTATGGTCTATCGTTTTATGGGCAATAAATGCGGTATTAAGAAACGGACTGAGGCGAATCGTTTGAGCGTTGCAGCCGTTTTGTTGTTATAGGAGAAAGGGTCGTTACGTTTCGAGAATACTCCATTGTTTTACAGTTCGTTTACACAGCCTGGTGTATATTTTAGATCAGCGGTGGAACTAAATTCTCACTGTTTCAAAGGATGACACTCCGTTGTAAGTGGATCTGATGTAGGTTGTAAAAGAGAGTTCAGCTTAGACTTGTTTGTCGTGTGATCAGGCAAGGATACCACCGCCTTTTCTATTACTGTCGCGATGCACTGGTGCGATCCAACTTGAGCCCATTGACTCTGGTAACCGCCTACAAATGAAAAATTCAAAGTTTACGATTTTTACCAATTTGGAAGCGGTGTTATAGTTGAAATTCTGTGAACTGTATTTACGTTTAAACATAAGTTTGACTATTAGTTGGTGTTCAACTATATTTACAAATTTGAATGAAATTGATGCACAAAAAAAAACGATTTATTGGTTCAGCAGTGTCCTTAAAGATCCTGATTCAAAACTGGCCCTAATCACTGTTTTTAATTGCATGATATATTTTCACCAAACATTACAAATATATTTAGGTAGCTACTAGCGTTTACGACCCAATAAGCCCGTCATCGTTCTCGTCGAACCCGTTGCTTGCGACGAAGGGCTCGACGAGTAAATTAACCCACAGACACAGCCCACTGAGTTTGCGAAGCACGGCTCTTGCTAGGGTTCGTGTTAGCAACGTCGTCAGGTTTGAACCCTGTGAGCTCACCTACTAGTTAAGGTTACGTTGAAATAGCCTCTCAAGGCTATCAGCATAGGTAGGAAAAAAGAAGACATTTATTTCAACTTAGATGTCAGCATAACACACTTGTTGAATGTCTAAATATAAATAAAAATTTTAACTCTACCACCGGTTCCAAAAAGAGCCACAGTCCTGAGAAGAACCGACGAAACAAACTCAGCGGGTTTTTTTATTTTTTATAAGTAATAATATTTTCAATAAACAAGTCAAGAAATACAATTAAAATAATAATAATAAAGAAAAATGAAAATGAAACCTGAAAGAAAATAATTGTGACACATAATTCTGTCCGAAACCAGAGGCCATCGACCGGTCGAGATTAGCGCGGGAGAGACGTGAAGCAGAGCAAAGAAAGCGACTAGACGAACTTCGAGCGCACGCTGCGGCCGCACAGGCCCAGAGAGAGAAACGAGACGAGGACCGGAGACGGAGGCAGGCCGAGCAGAGAGCAAAGGACGACGACAGACGACAACAGGTCAGTGAATGTGTACGTAGTAACCTTTTTTTTTCTATTAATTTTAACACACACATCCTCCTCGCGTCGTTTTCCTCATTACTGATGGTCGTGATTCCCCTGCTGCATCAGTTTCTCCCGTACGATTTCCCTCCATCCGCTGCGATCCTTAGCTTCATTAAGGGCATTGTGGAAGTTGATGTTTAAAGAAGATCGTATTCGGTCCGACCATCTCGTGGGACTGCGTTCTCTGTGACGTTTACCATCTACCTTTCCTAACACACACATACAGTCGGCTTAATTCGCAATGTCAGTTATTAGGACCAACGCCTCAAGTGTCGGTAATTACAGAAATAATACGGAACACGATGCATTTGTCTTGCGAATTGAACCGAAGTTAAATCTATAATATTAATCAATTTATAATAATTAACATACAACAATCATCCAATCATAATATATATGTAGTGTAAATAGTCGTTTTTCTAATGAAGTCTAGACATGTACTTCACGTGTTAATATCGTCGTTAATAGACTACCCTCAACTTACTAACAAAAAGGGACAGCAATTGGCTCGCCTAAAAAAATTCACATTTTTAGCTGACCCTGCTCTGAAGTTTTTGTATAATGTAATGGTTAAATAGAGATTCATGAAACAGCTAAGAACCGTCCACTTTAATTCAAACTTAAATTAATAAAAGAACCCATCAAAATCATCCCACAGGCTTAAGAGTTACAATGCCACAGACACACACACAGCTGCACGTAGGAAATGTATTTCTACTTACCACTTATGTTTTTTTACGTAGAGGGCTTATAAAATAACCAAGAAATAAAAANTAATGGTTAAATAGAGATTCATGAAACAGCTAAGAACCGTCCACTTTAATTCAAACTTAAATTAATAAAAGAACCCATCAAAATCATCCCACAGGCTTAAGAGTTACAATGCCACAGACACACACACAGCTGCACGTAGGAAATGTATTTCTACTTACCACTTATGTTTTTTTACGTAGAGGGCTTATAAAATAACCAAGAAATAAAAAATATGTCTTTAGTCATATCTATGACTCGTGAAGATCTGTGGAAATTCTGCTTTAGGCTTACTTACGTACCATATGTAATTAATAGATCTAGATTCTAGAGGCTTCTACAGCGTTCTACAATTGGTTCACCCAGTATTTTTATGGACATTACATGGCGGATAATCATGTCTACAAATTGTAATAGATTCTAATGTCCCTTGTGATACGTGAGACGGTTTTAACATGCTTTTATTAGTTTAATATGCTTTTAGAAGTTTAATTTACAACGTAATTTGGACCGGAATCAAGACGTAACTTGAATTGCACAAGTGTCAAGGATCGCTACAATGATTTTGCTACTTTAACTTGACTAGGGTAGATAGTAAGTTTGCGATTCATAGTTTGTTTTTAGTATTGAAGCATGTTTATTTATGACTATGTTTAGTAGTGAATATCGATGTCCAGATCACATGAAATCGCTCAAAAAAAAAAGTCAAGAATCCATCTAAACTCTATTTTTCCACAAAATTGATCCGAACTTATTGTCATTGCTGTCGAGATATGTTACTTTTTTTTTATTGCCCGATCAATCACTATCAATTGATAGTAAGTGGTCAACGTCCCCCATGGACTTCAGCAATGCCAGGGGCAGAGCCAAGCCGCTGCCTACCAAACCTACTTAAAAAATGTTCAATTTATTCAGTTTTTTTTTTCCACACACACTCAGCTCGCACGTTGACCGTTTGACGGACATTACCGAAGCGCTGTCGGCGTAACTTCACTTTCACTGTGCAATATAATAGTTACGGTTACGGTGAAAATTAGAAACTAAAACTCTGAATATATATATACCAATATAACAGCTGATAAATACCGGTCACTTTGTACAAGGGACTGGTTCAAGGCTCGATGTGGCTAAGTTCGCTTTTAAACTATAGGTAGTTGTGGAGATCAGTGGAATTTGCGTTGAAGTTAGAAATTCCTTCACTAATTTATCTTTAAAACGGAATGCTAACCCGACTAAATACTTCTATCTCACTAGGTTAGGGCATAGATTTTTATTTTTTTTATTGCTTAGATGGGTGGACGAGCTCACAGCCCACCTGGTGTTAAGTGGTTACAGGAGCCCATAGACATCTACAACGTAAATGCCGCCACCCACCTTGAGATAAAGTTCTAAAGATCTCAGTATAGTTACAGCGGCTGTCCCACCCTTCAAACCGAAACGCATTACTGCTACACGGCAGACATATAGCCAGTATTAGCCAGGGCGGTGGTACCTACCCTTGCGGACTCAGAAGAGGTCCTACCACCAGTAATATGGTTTGCTTGTTACGAACAGCCGTCTGTCTATATACATGTAATATGTTGTTTATTGAAACAAAAAAAAAACAAAGTTGTTGCTCTGTAAAGAGAAATTTGTTTTATCAAATGAATGACTTGCAAACACGGCTTACTTCAATACTTAGAATTACTAAAGCTATTTACTAATTTGTAAAGAGAAACAACATTGAAAGCTATTGCTTCAATGTTTAATATCTTTTCACAGCCTGAAATATTTATTTTTTATAAAACCAATGTACAAAGCCAGAGAGAAGCTTTCTAATTATAGAATGAACACAGTGTCAAATGCTGCTACCAAATAATAATAAACCACGGTTACGTCTATAGTCGAAGTTGGTGCGTGGGCAATTAAAAAATATAATGAAGTCGTTGTGGCCCAAAGGATAAGACGTCCGGTGCATTTATATCTAGCGATGCAACGGTATTCAAATCCCGCAACCGGCTACCAATTTTTCTAATGAAATATATACTTAACAAAATATGATCACGATTGACTTCCACATTGAAGGAATAAAACATCGTGTAATATACTGAGACCTTAGAACTTATATCTCAAGGTTAGTGGCGGCATTGACGTTGTAGATGTCTATGGGCTCCGGCAACCACTTAACGCCAGGTAGGCTGTGAGCTCGTCCGCCTATCTATGCAATAAATAAATAAGAAGCTACTGCTAATATTTTAGTATCGTGTTATCATTTGTATGTAGTATATGTTTAATCCGCCATTCCTTCTCAATATAAAACAGTAAAATAAAAAAGTTAGTTTAAAAAAGATTGGATCAGACGTTTGCCTGATTTATGTAGATTTTATTAAAAAATGCGTGTAACAATCTCATTACGTAATGTCTATCATCAAAGCCAGTCAATCGTAGACGGATATCTCGATTGTTCATTCGATTCATTTTGGTTTCTTTATTCTGTTATTTGGTGTTTAATTGATTTGGATATTTCAATTGTCTTGTTAGATTTTTTAAATTGCGTTTTAGAAATCTACAACAATTTGGTAATGGGTGTATGAAATGCGTACCGGGGTCTAAAACCCGTACCAGATTTCTTTTTCCGATAGCGATGTCGTATCATATGAAACTTTAAATAGAGATGCCCGTCAGCTGCCTGGAGAATAAATGAAGTGTTGGAAGAATCCAGGCCGATGCAAAAAGTTTTACAATCTACTTTTTCTTTTGCTAAGATGGGTCACGATCGATCTGTGGCCACCCATAGACACAAGAGCTCTAAAACTGCCCCACCCTTCAAACCGAAACGCATTACTGCTTCACGGCAAAAATAAGCGGGGCGGTGGTACCTACCCGTGCGGACTCACAAGAGGTCCTATCACCAGTAATTACGCAAATTATAATTTTGCGGGTTTGATTTTTATTACACAATGTTATTCCTTCACCGTGGAAGTCAATCGTGTACATTTGTTGAGTACGTATTTCATTAGAAAAATTGGTACCCGCCTGCGGGATTCGAACACCGGTGCATCGCTAGATACGAATGCACCGAACGTTTTATCCTTTAGGCCACGACGACTTATAAAATATTACTCTGTGTATATTGGGAATATCTATTTATTTTTTATTTGTCTTATGTATGCCCTGGCTATCACGGAGCTTCGCAATTTTCCTTCATGCTATGAACTCAATCACATCTGCCATCGTATTGGCTTTTTAACATAAATTTGAGTTAGCCCATCGAAACTGTAACTACGTCGACCCAATTCAACCCACGCTAATCATCAAGCAGTCGAAAGATTATACAGAAAGTGCTACATTTGAGTCGGATCCGTCTATTTCCTCAATTTATTACGTGTCTGCATCACATTTCGCAACACAAAGTTGCGGGTAGTCTGCGGAATCAATTAGACCCTCTCGATTACGTGCAGCAATTAGCATGTTTGGCTCCTCTTGGGAAACGGATCGTTTTATTACGAGCTTTTACACTTTTCTTCAATTTCATAATCAAACTACAGCTTTTATGATGATTCTAATGTAACATTAATGAAAGGACGATTGGACTTGAGAATTTTGATAAACAATTTAAATCAGAATACTGAGGAATGGAAAGAGAAGAGACACAGTGCTATTCCCAAGTGATTGTTAGGTAAAGCCCAACGAAGACTTAAGTTGAAATAGTAAAATTTGACAGTTGAGTTTTTGCTTGAGTCTTACGTTTTAATGTTGTTTTTTAACAATCAAGAGGCTGCTTTTTAACTGGAGACTACATTTATTTTAACGATGTTAACCGTTGTCTGATGCGCGCTGTTCCACTTTCTGAATGCGCTTTCTTTTCGATAATATTCTTTGAAAAGTAAATTTAATTTTTTTTGTTTGTTAAAAAACACATAAATGACTTACACGTTTGCAATCACATATATTATATTGAACGTAATTTCAAAGAGTCTAAAGGTTAACGAATCTGACCTCTACTGGATTCAACCAAATAAACGATTTCTGTTGGAGACTGTACCTCTGACTCAAGAGAAACGGTGTATAAAACGAAGACAACGCTGTTTGCTGAAACGATGAAAAACCCACGACTTAAAAACTAAACAGATTAAAAAATATTAACAATAATAAAATTAAATGTTATCAAGACATCAGAACCAATTTGTTACAAATCAAAATTCAATATCAGTTTCAAACTGCAATATTTACTTTTA